AGATTTCCGAGCGCAACGCGCAGCAGGGGGGTGGAGGGAGGGAAAGCGCAAAGTTTTGAATGTGAAACGGCGAAGAAAAAGGGGTGAGAGCCATTTGAACATACCCAAAGCGGCCTCTCGGACAAGTCCATCCATGTCCGAACCACTGTATCCTGCAGAGTCAATCACAATTTTGAGTGGAAATGAATTTGTGCGATTTTCCAGGTTTGCCAGAATTAAGAGAATTTCCGAAGTCCAAAATTCTTACCATCGGTCAATCGCACCACTTCATCGATTTCTTCATCAGTCAGGGAGTGAGTCTGCTTTTTCAGCAAGTTCACGACGATGGACCGACGCGCTTCTGCGTCCGGGAGGGGAATGTAACTGAAATATCAGAAAGAAAGTGTGCATATTAGTTGATCATATGTGTGGCAAGTAGGTTCAAGCGCTTGGTATGGAACAACATATTGAAACCGTTTAAGACAGGAGATAGGAAAAGGGAAACCATATGGATTTATAAATTAGATGACAAAATAAGCACTCACAGTTTTTTCCGGAATCGTCGTCTAGCCGCTTCGTCAATTTCTTGCGGCCTGTGTAAACCGAGTCCACGTCAATCATACATATTTCGCGCAAAATCAAACCAAAAAAAAGCGAAAGAAAGACGTGATACCTGTTTGTCGCTCCTTTCAAGCAAATCAGCGTTTCCCGAAAAGGCATGCGTCACCATGGCAAAGTATGAAACACTGCTTGTTTCGACTAGACCGAAAATCAACGGAGATAATTGAGTCGAGCAAAACACCTACCGATCAACAATATTCGATCTTCGCTGTCAGTTCCGCACCCATCGAATTGAACCTGGTTTTCCGCAAGAAAAAGCCAGAGGTCATGACCGGTTACCATCGCAAAACTTCCCCACATCATTCTCCAACCCAACACCCCGTCTGCGCACATAAATCAACATCCAACCTACCAAAAACTCCGTCTTAATCCTCCTCGTCGCCTCAACCTCCCCCTCCGTCCGCTGAGTCAACAACGAGTCAATCTCGTCAACGAATATGACAGCCGGTTGATACACTCTCGCAACCGCAAAGAGCGCACGGACCATCTTCTCGCCTTCCCCTACCCATTTGGAGGTCAGGGAGGATGAAGAGATGCTGAAGAAGGTTGCACCGGATTGGGAGGCGATGCATTTGCCGATTAGGGTTTTGCCTGGAATGGGTTTTGGAGGTTTTGGAAAGAGAACGGTGAGGTATGTTAATGATTTAGAGCCCTTTGGTGGATGTAATGTCAGTTTGCTTATATTCGATACGTACCCGTTCCTAATAACAGCCAAGACGGAGGCATAACAAGTGCGACACGAAAGTGGAGATGTGATGTTATGGACGATATCATCTTATTGGACATTTGCGAAGTGCTTCATCTCAGAACAAGCTCAGTCAACCTCACCTGGTGGACCAAAAAGCAGAAGACCTTATGAAGAAGAAAGATTTCGGTTTGATCAACAGTCGGTCACAGGTAGGTGAAGAGCTCGCAAAAACAAGGGTTCTACAAGCTTCCAATTCTCGCACCTTTCGGAGGCCCCCGCAACCCGGTAAAAATATCCGGCCTCAACATCGGCCAGACAACGACCTCTCTGATGGTCGCTTTTGCGTGTGTTAAGCCCGCGATGTCATCCCTGTTTTGTGAATCAAGGAATGGGAGAAAATAGAAAATGTGATCATCATCAGCAAACAGCCCCTTCGCCGTCGGTGTTCGATCAATCAGTGTATCCACTTCGCCGCCTACCATTCAACTTTGGAGCAATTGTCCATGATTTCGGCCATGATCATCTCGACCATCTTAGGCTCGATATTCTTCAAGCGTTCGTCAACAGGCTCTTGTCCTCCTTCGTCTGGATTGTTTCCGCCTGCTGCTACCGCATTTCGTCCAGCCGGTTTTCCGACACCTCCCCCATTAGTACCATAACCACCCCTCCCATTGCCGTTGCCGTTGCCGTTGTTGGAGTTGTTTGGATTGTTGCTAAGTAGCGGGGAAACGAACTTGCTTCGCTTTCCGGCACCAGTTGTTCCCAAGAACTTTCGCTTGGTCCCGCTGTTGTTGTTGAAATTGTTTGGGGGTGGTCGCCCGCCGAACTTTTTTCTTTGGTCCTGCAGCTGATGGTCGTGAACGGGGAATATGAGTAAAGCTGAAGTACGTCCAAAATGAACCAAGTTCTACCAAAGCAGCACGCAAGACTCAACGACATCCTAAAGACCCGAAAGAGAATTGAATGACTCCTCACCATTTTTTGATGCGCAGTCATGAAACCACTTTTCGGTGGTTCCACCTCGTCTGCATCGTTGGGAGCAGATCTTGCGGTATCTCCGTATCCGTATCGGCTTTGCTCCTCGTCCTCATCGTCCAAAGCCATATTCTCGTCACCGTCCATGCGCGATGTTGGAGGTTTCTGGATATCAGTGTCAAGGGATGCGTAATTCGTTAGATAACGTGGGAGACGACGAAATATCCAATACATTCGTCACTACCAAGGCCCTGCAAGCGACTTCACCCCCCCACTCCCACCCTCAAAGAATGCATTTCCTACATTGAATCCGGCCTGAAATCGATTTCCGCCACGCGCTGCTGGACCTGGTCCGTTGTTCGGTTGAAACGCTGATTCCCGATTCGCGCCTCCTCGCATCGGGGACTTTGCGCACGGTTGTCTACTCGATGCTGTTGGCATGGGAGGACGTGCGCCTCTGTTGGTTGGAGGAGGAGGAGGAGGCGGTGGCCTGACCGGCGGTTTAGGTGGTTGAAAGGACGAAGGCTGTGGTTGTGGTTGCGGCTGTGGAGGTACTGACTTTTGAATTGTCGATGTTGAGGGCCGCATTGCGCTTGTTACATTTCGTTCGGGTGATGATGCAGCGGAGGTCCTTTCAAATGTATGGGTATTGATTTCATTCGCATTTTCGGATTCGCTGGGACCTAGCCCGAGTCCGAATTTCGCGAAATGCTTATGCAATGGGCTACTGCTATTTTTGACGATAGACGAGTTAAAATCGTGTTTGATAGCTTTCGGACAGGTAAATACATCTGCGCTAGATCCCGGCTTTGTCGGTGATGGGGGGTCCATCTGAGTAGCCTCCTGGACTTGGAGGTTTGAACCTCGCGTCTCGGCAACTCTGATGGATTGAATATTAGGACCTGAACCGGCTGGAGATCGTGATGCCGGGGGTCGTGCGTTGTCAGGGGTCACAGGCTTTGGCAGGGTTGGCGGAGCAGGAGACTCCACAGGTGGTGGTAATGCGGCAGTTCGTTCATCCACGGCCATCATGGGTGCGGTGTCGATAGCTGACGGTACTTCAACGCCAATGCCGTCTTTCGAATCATTCGCGTCTGTGTTGAAAAGGTGCTTCGCCACACCGAACTTTTTGAAGTCGGGAGTAGGGCAAGTCGTCTCGCTTTCGATGAGGCATTGCTGCACAGTAAGGGAGAATCAAAAAAAATCGCAGTGATCAGAGTTCCAGTTCCGACACCAGGACCAGAACCAAGACACGAGGACCTATGGATTACCATTTGCATTAAATCCGAGATATCCCATGGTTTCGACGGCTTGATCTCTTTTATTTTGCTAGTGATCCCTTTTCTTTCACGTTTCCGATCCAACGTGGCGTGAACCTGTGCAAGAACCGAGCCGGGACACCCTTTTGCCCTGTGTGGGACATTTGCTTCACGATACAAATCGAGGTACTTCAACAGGAATATGGCAAATATTTCCGAGAAAAAGAAATAGGCGGTGAGAAGAAGAACTACCACATCAAAAAGGAAAACATAGTAGCCAAACGGCGCCTTACCTTCTCTTGTACCCGGTCTAAATCATGGATATGCCTGAGAGCCTCAGCTTTTGCCTTATGTACGCCCGCGATTTTCGCCTCGTCAAATTCAGCCGATGCCTGCACCGCATGCGTAGACGAATCTGATTTACTTCTCCCAGCAGAATGCTGAGATCTTGCTCGTCCTTCCAGCGAATCGGGACTTGCCGGTTCTCCCACCTTTTCCTCCCCACCTTGCCTATTCCCTAGAGCAGCCCGTGCCCTCTTTAAAAGAGTATTTTGTTCAAACAGTCGATGCGTTGTTGCCCATCGATCGTTATCGAGCATGGTCAAGAGATGCCGGATGTGATTCGCAGCTGGGAGTTGGGACTTAAAAGAAGGGAACAAGTTCGTGAGAGTTAATGAACGCAATCTTTGAGTCGAATTCCATGAAAATCGACAAACACTTCATGAGAAGCTGAGTGATTCCACGGCCGAAATTGAACGGAGAAACCGCAGGGCTAACCTGGGCGACATTCGGGTTGTTGTTATGACCGAACTGTTGCGGGTGGTTGAGTGATTTCTCGGCGAGTAATGCATGTTTTTGGAAGCATTGAACTTGCAGCTGGACTTGGAGCTCACAGGGAAGTTCTTGCAGAAGACCCTTTTTCGGAGTGGTTTCCATGGTGTTGGTCGGTTGTTGGTGTTTGAGGTGCAGGTTTGCAGTTGGTGCGACACCTTTTTGGTCACCAACTCCGAAACTATTGAAACTCCAATCTGAAACTGAATTTGAAGCCCGATTCCACCCCAAATTCCACCCTAATATCCATCGGAACCCGTAGAAATACTGACCCATTAGCAGAATCAGTAACTGTCCCACTCCTTGCAACGACGATCATTCTCCGGCGGCGGCACATCACGTCAAGCATACACAACCGCCTTCATGTACATTTTATGAAGTGTCTCGACTTGCTCTAAGTAAACTGAGGAAAAGTGAGGACCTGGCAAGACCTTGCAAGCTACTTCGGGTTAGCATCTATGAGTTCCTAGATTGTACCAGAACGTCGCAAGATCCATTTCGATAGGGACCCAAGCTTGGTTGGCTGAATAAAATCCGAGCAAGTCTTCACACACAGTCACACAGACAACTCAGAAGGAAGACGGGACAAAATGGGTTATATGAAATGCATCGACCTCCACAGTCAGGCACCCAACCAAGTGTCGCACAGGAGCAACCCGGGATTGAACCGGGGACCTCTCGATCTGCAGTCGAATGCTCTACCACTGAGCTATTGCTCGCTGTTGGCATTCATGGAAAATGCATCAATAGATACTTTTGCGTGACGTCATAAGTCCCAATATTTTGCACCAGCTATCATGTACATTTCATCCATCTTACGCTACAAAAATACAGTTACATTCCACTCCCATTCCTCTCCGAATTCTCAAACTCCCACAACAAATAAACGCTTATTCGCTACAAAAAAAATCAAATCTCACCTTTCCTCTTCTCATTCCATTTCCTTCCTCTCTCAAAAAACTCATCCGCCAGGACAACCTTATCAAAGGTAACCCACGGCCCAACCATAACCCACGAATCCAACCTCAAAGGAATAACCTGCCACGCCTTCCCCCCCTTCTCACCCCTCAACTTCTGCGCAAACGCCCTGGAAGCAAAGAAGCTCACTTCGTCCTTAACGCTCTTCGGTCTCTTCAGAGCCGAAAACATGTGGACCTTCCTCTTGTCCGACTTGTGGTACCGCACGGCATTGTACCAGTCTCCAATGGAAACCTTCTTTTCGTCTTCCTCGTGGATGACGAGTAAACCGATGTGGGGGGCGAGGCCGTGGCCTGTGGGGAAGTAGGAGTGGTCGTCCAAGTCCAACCCTGTCACCACGCATTCAACGACGTCGTTAGGTAAGGCGTCATAGTAAAGCGGGAAGAAGGTGTTCGAGTGACGAGACCAGAGAGACAAGAGCGTGGCAAGTTCTTCCTGGAAGGGCTCGATGTATATTTCGAAGGTCTTGGTGAGTTGAACCGATGATTGAGGGTTGGGAGATGAAACGGGGGGTTGCGCAGTGGTCGTAAGGCGCTTTCCAGTCAGGAAGGTTTCGACGACGGACGAGATCCAGTGCGCCGGAATGCCATTTTCGTAGAGGCGGACAAGGGTCAGAATGAAGGCAGAAATCGTCATAGGGCTGTACTCGAAGCATGCCTTACGGCCATCGCGGAATGCGGGATAGCAGATCCCCAAGTAGAGCCGGTGGAGCCACCTGATGATCTGGGCCTTCGATGCACGGGGGACGCTCCCAACACGCATCTCATTGCTTTTGCCGTTTTTGTTATCTTTCTGATTCTTGCCGTCAGCCGCATCATCCGTCAACACCCAACACACGTCGATGTTGAACAATCCCCCACACGTCTGTTTAATGCCCAAAACCTCCTCCACTTCCTCGGGCCCATTCAACATGGTGCTGCTGAAGATGTATTCGTCATAATTCTCCCAAATAACCGTGTTGAGCAGCACGTTGCACTGCATCCAGCACGGAAACTTGGCTTCCTTTTGCTTGTACAAAAGCGGTCCGATGGTTAGAAGGCTAGTGAGAAGCCCGCAGTAGTCTGGGACGTTGCTCAGGAGGACGCGGTGGAAGCGGGTCGGGAGGCCTTGCTTTTCCCTCTCTTCGTGGCGCCTGGAAATCATGAACGCTGTCTTGTTCACATCCCCCTGGTTGAATTCGAGCACGAAGTTGTTAGAGTATTCAGCGATACACCGCGACACCCTCCAAAAGATTCCGAGGAAAATATCGTAGATGTCGTTGACTTTGGGTGGTGCTGAGACGTAATCCATGTGGTAGAAAAAGTATGTGAAATCGGCGACCGGATGAAAGTTCCAGGACGGTTTCCCGCCGTCTTCCATGAAGCGAAAATCGACGAGACAAAGGTTTGGTTCGTATGACGTGCGAATGTGCTGGGCGAGATCTTCGCGGATGTTGCGCAGACGGCTATGCTCGGCGCTTCCGGAAGCCAGCTTCGGATTGATCATCCGGGGATCCCTTGCCGCACGAATCGCTTCGTCGAAGGGGATTTTCCCGCCATTTTTGTTATTGCTGCCCTTTTTGTTCGACTTCCTTTCTGTCAACTCCACCTTTTCCTTGCTTGGGAACTCGACCGGAGGCCACAAAAGTTTCGTATCCTAGATGAAGACAACAGGCATGATTAGCACACAGACTTTGAGATCAAGGTATCGAAAAAATCAAAACAAATGTTCTGCAAGCCATCTGAATGCTGACCCTCATGAAGTTGACGTCGTGAATGAACTCGAGGGCGGAGGGACGAAGACCAGGATTCTCGTTCACAAGATTTACCGCCGTTTGATACAAGAAATCGCGCTTCTTGGTGATGTTCGCGCCGTATTCATCAGGCACGATGCTCATAATCTGCTGGTCTGGCATGTTCTTGATGTCCTTCACCATTTGGTAAGTAGTATCTTCAAGATGTTGAGCCATCATGGCCCTCAAGGGGGGGGGGCATATTCTCGAATTTTTCCATGTTGCCGCCGAAAGAGTAGTGCTTCATTAATTCATCTTGTTCATCTTGGAAAGCCACAGCTTGAACACATCCTGCACCGCGCTCTTCGTTTTGTCGTCCGAGAACCGAATGAAAGGAAGGCGCTCCATCCAAGCGGTTGAGCGAGCGCAAGCCCGGAGAACCTTTTCCAGCTTTTTAGATACGTCTGGATGCAAGCCGATGCAGTAGTATGTCATAGAAATGTACGTGAGCAAGAAGGCAAAGTCAGGGTTGCTTCGGTCAGGAGTGCTGAACTTCGACATCTCTTCCAACGCCAAGAACAGAATTACGAGACGGGCAAGGGCAGTAGGGTTGAGATCGTTGCAAAGAATCTTGACGGTAGCGTTGGGTGGTGCCTTTCCTGTGTTGAGCTTCTCCCACAGATCTAGCAACGTCACGAGAAGGTGCCGACCGTCGCCAATCCCACCAAGCAATACACAGAGCGGGTTTTCCTTGCTGAGTAGGTTGAGCTTGACGCGCGAACCCGGTTAATCCGAGCCATTTGCGAGCCGATTCATTCTAGTACGCTTCTTGTTCTCGATGGAATCGACGTAATCCGCGAAAGCGCTGACGGCAGGATCGTGGCCGATAGAGAAATACTCACAATACGTCAGGTCGCAAACCATAAGGCGATAGAGCGGGGTAAGTCCCTCTTCTCCACGAAGGGGATTCGCGTTGCGAGTGCGGTCTTGCAACGCATCGAGGAATCGGCGCAGTTCCTGATCGACCGGGAGATATTCCAGCTTTTCATACTGACCAGCAAAACTCGCAGCTTTGACGATACGCTTGAAAACTGCAGGTTGATCGAGAGCGACCGCAGCAAGCTTCTTCCTAGCCTCCGCCACATTGCTATCGTTCTCCCCTTTACCCGTCCCCAGCTCCTCCCCAGTGACGCCACACCTCATCATCAACGACTTCATCCCATCATTGACAGCCTCAATGTACCTCCCAAACTCGAACAATGACGCACTTCTGTTGCTGAAATAGACGGGGTAGGTCGGATCAAGCGCGATTGACTTGGTGTAGAATTCGGTGGCTTCATCGAATACACCCTTCTTGTGGAAGTCATTGCCAACCTTTTTGAGTTTTTCGGCTTCCGATTGAGCATTCTGCGATGGCGAAGAAGGCGGAGGGGTATGCTGGCTGGACAAGTTCGCTGCATTCCGAACGCTATCGTCCTTGTTTTCGGCGCTGCCGGAGGAGCCGATACTGGCGTTACTCGATGCCCTACGAATGCCAGATTTCTTTTTGCTAGGGCTCTTTTGTGGGGTGACGCGCCGACCCTGTTGAGATGCAGTGTTGGATGGAGAGCTGTCGAACATGTTGCTGTCGCCCGTGGAGGAAATGGAATCGGGGGTTGAAGTTAAAGGTCATTCTAATCGGGAATCGCTGCGCAGGGACGGAACGAAGAAGGAAAAGGGCAACCAAAAGGACTTCATGTCTCCCTGCGTGTCTCCCACACTGAGCACAAAAACCTGCGTCTTAGGTAAAGCCTATGACAAACATAATACCTCTAACCTCACGCTCGTTTGAACCGCGGACGTAGGGATGCGTCACAGGTTCATTCCGCATTTGTATGAGAATATGAAAACACGTCTGAAAACATTACCAGAAAGGCTGTGAATATGGTGATGGTTGATGATGGCAGGGTTCGCAATTTGATGGGAGACCCGGCGGACCCCAGGGTGTGAAATGAAGAGTATGAACCTTGTCTCTATCCCAGGCTCCATTCGCACATGTGGGCCTAATTGTTGATGCTGCCACCTGCACCGCCAGTTTGCGCTTTTCGATTCACATAACCTCGGCAAATCACTGTTCAAAGCAGACTGCTTTTATCATCTCTGTGCGTTACGCTGCAGGCATCGGTTCCGCGACGGCAGTCATTCAGAATATCAGGAGCTATTATGTTTCTTTTGCTCTCAGGGGGCTTTCGTAAGGACCATCACGTCAGTTTGGAAATTTGGAATATCGTAAATTCAAGTGGTCTACTCTATGTATGATCTGGATGAGGCCTTTGGGGGGAGATACGGAAATGCGTACCAGCCGTCTACGTCTTTTAAGTCGGAGTTGGAATTCTCTCCACGGACGAATGCCAGAGTTGCCCGTTGATTTCGGAGAGAGTTAAGAGTCCGGCTGAGCAGACTGTCGATCAATCACCATGTGAACACCGACGTTCCACCAAGAATCGAACCCATCACCCAAATTTCCAACATCGCCAAAATGTCCACGAGCGCCCTCAACGAACAATCTCCTCCCGCCGACACATCCACGCCACCTAAACCCACAACCGGAGACCCTTCTTCTTCCATCGGAGATCAACGCAAATCCACGGCCGGCGGCGCGCCTAATCCTCCTGCCTCCGATCCCACACCACCAACAGCCATGAGCCAAGAACCACAACCACCCGCCCCCTTAGCAGGTTTTGAAAAAAATAAATCGACAACAGGAAGCGGGAGTCAACTCGCCACCCGCACCGGGTCAAATCATACCGTCGCCAGTGTAGCGGTCGAACCTGCTACGCCCCTCAATCCCACCGTCCCTCATGTTGCCGCTGCATCTACATCCACAAATCAGCAACAGGGGCGACCTTCAGTCGGGCCGTTACAGCGAAATATTTCTGTGGCAGCCGATGCGGCGCAGGTACCGAGTGCTCCCGCGGCTGGGGTTGTGGGGGTAGGACTGGGAATGTCGGGTGCAATCGGAGTGGATGGTGGGCAAATAGCCACGGGTTT